TGTAATATGCTGTGGTGACCTGACAGCATTGGGTCGCGTGGCCGGACTGGCCGCGAGACTGACTCCGGCTCCTTCTCCTCTCTCTCGTGAGATACGCCGCTTCATGAGATACATGTCTATATGGGCCTTAGGACTTGGCTTGTTCATTGCTATATCAACCATGTTTCTTGGCTATCCCTTTATTCAAACTATTATATTCGTTATTGGAATTGTTGTTGCTAATATTCCTGAAGGTAGATCTACATAACACCGAAATTTTATTTCAATTGCATAATTTGCGTCCTTTGTGTATATTAAAAATGATTATTATTTAAGGCTTGCAACCAACAATAACAGCGTCCCTAACAATAACAGCCCAGCGCATGGTAAAAAAGAACTGCTTGATTAAGAACTTGGACGCTGTAGAGGCTTTAGGTGCCTGCACGGTTATATGTTCCGATAAGACTGGTACTCTGACTGAGAATAAGATGGTCGTGCATCACATCTGGACATGGAATAAAGTACATTCCGTAATGGGCTCAGATTTTAATAGTAAGACAACACGATCACTACATGCTTACTTACGAATCTAGATTCATATCAATATTTATTTATTTAGTGTAGTGTATGTATGTATATTTAAACTTAGTTTAATTAGTAGACGTGTAGCACAATAAGCTCCCATTAAATAACCCCGTTATCTACCTCCACTGGGCTACTGATAACATTTTGTTTACTTTGATTGCAGGCGCGGTGCAAAATAATAATGGTGAGATAAAAGAAATAATAATTTAATCATCTATAGCCTCAGACTAGACTGTCTGTACTGCTTGGTCATGACAGGGTTTGCCACAAATTCTACGATTCGCAATCTGGTTGGAAATTGAAAGTTTATTAAACTGTCAAACACCAAGCGGTCACCGGTGACCGCAACCTATTGTTCTATAATTGTGTCTACAAAACCGGTACTCGACGAAGAGGACGCTAATTAACCCATTATTAAGGTTGCACCTGTCCAAATAGTTAGGTACTTACGAAATTTTACATTGCGTTTCCTAAAATAATAGGCACCTCAACTGTCACAAGAATAGCTATGGATAATAAGTATGAAACTGAGGATGTAAAAAACGGCATAAGAATCGTAATACATGTCTAATGAGAGGCCCTCTGTAATTCTGCATACCCTCTGTCTTCCCAATAGTCATGATAATAATACACACTAACGTTAATGTGGATACGCATCTAGTATCTTCACATAGAGTATGTAAATTGAAGTTGAAATATATTACCTGAGTATATGTTCTATTTCTTTTAGCCTACAGCTATTTAAAGATTTGTGGAGCGTTATGCAGTAACGCTGACGTCAAGATTGGCGGTGGAATTCGTGGAGACGCGTCTGAAATCGCAATTCTAAACTTTCTTTTCCAACAAAACGATCCTCTTACTATAAGGAAAAATTATCCAAAAATCGCTGAAATACCTTTTAATTCAGCAAATAAATATCAGGTGAGACTGATACAGAGCAAATAATTACCTACGTATAATGTTAGGAGAGACACACTCAGGATCGGGACATCTGGTGTTATGTTATGTTGCCCTCAAATCCGTTTAGTCCCACTAAGGCCGAGAAAATAATTAAAAATGTTGTTAGAATATTCTGTTATAGAGATCAAATCAAGTCACTATTGCATTTATCTATCACATGCGCCTTTATGGGACTCGGGCTTGCAATAAAAACCTTTCCAAGTCTCAATTCATAGCAACTACCTACCTTTAGTGGGTACCGATTTCAAGAAACTCATATGTAATAGGTGGTTTAAATATCTATCAAGGTCTAAAGATGAAAACATTTTCTTGCCGCCTTGTAGGTAGTCATTTCCATGAATTTGGACTCGAAATTTGTATTGCATGTAAATGCATGCCGCGGAAACGCTCAATTCCTTGCTTATAAATAAACTGGTTGCGGGGACTTTTTCCGGCAGAAAAATCCACCAAGCCTTCGTGAGAATTACTAAATAAGGTCTACATTTTTCCTCATAGGTTATACCTACCTATCTATTTGCACCTAGGTAGGGACGACTACATTTAGAACTGAAGATATTAGGTAGGAAAGACATCTAAATAGTTAAGCCTATAATATAAATATATAATATTCAGATCTTGGATGACGTAAACTATTAATTATTCAAATGTAGGTCAGTGTTCATTTTGAAGCTTCAGGAGCACGATTTATCGTAGTGATGAAAGGAGCGCCGGAGATTATATTCGCGCGATGTCTTACTGTGGCCACCGATACCAAAGATATTATTTTTACAGACGATATGAAACGAATAGCAGACACTGTTATTGAAAATTTAGCAAAAACTGGTTAGTAAGTATAAAGTAGACATCGTATTCTATTTTAATTTGATCATTTAACTGACAATGGGACATTGTCCTACCTGTACCTGTAATTATTTTTAAGGTGAAAGAATCATGGCTTTTGCTGATCTCATCCTTAACTCAAAACAATTTCCTCTGAACTATTCATTTAACACCGATGATGTTAACTTCCCTTTGGAAAACCTACGCCTACTTGGAATTATGGGACTTATGGACCCACCTCGGGAGGAGGTTAGCCCTAGAGGGACTGTTGTTTTTGTGCTTATGGCGCTAAAATACTGCTTGAATTTGTTAAAAACGTTTGCTACTACAATTTTTTTATAAATTGGTAGTGGTAATTGGTACATTGTGCTTCTTACCAGGTGCGTTCTGCAATAGCTCGTGCCCGCGATGCTGGCATACGTGTGATGATGATTACCGGCGACCACCCGACCACAGCACGCGCTGTAGCTCTAAAAGTCGGGATTGCCACAAGTGCAAATTGTCATGTTGTCACCGGCAACGAACTAAGAAACATGACCCCAGATTTATTACACTGGACACTCGATAAACATTACGAAATTGGTAATAATTTATTAACTAGGTACCAATACCCTTACCTACCTACTTGTTTAAAAATATTTTAACGTTTCCTCTCTTCTGCAAAGTGTTTGCTAGAACTTCTCCCACACAAAAACTTCAAATAGTGGAAGCTTGTCAACGTGAAGGCGCAATCGTGGCAGTAACTGGAGATGGTGTTAACGATGCTCCCGCGCTTAGACGAGCTGATATCGGCATTTCCATGGGCATTACCGGGTCACAGGTAAAAACTTAGTTACGTTAACTACTACATTGAGGTACAATGAGGTGTTCTTTTGTTTTTCTTCGTCTAAATTATTTTACGGTTATTAGGGGATATTGTGTACCTAATAAGTTTACTTATAATGTGTAACTGCATTTATTGTATTAGGTGTGCCTGTGATGATAAATGTAATGTTTAAATATAAATAAATAAATATATAAAAAGAATAAATCAATAATATCTCGCTATTGAAACAGGTGTCGAAACAAACTGCTGATATTATTTTGATGGACGATAATTTCGCGACCATCATCGTTGGTATCGAAGAAGGGAGGAGGATCTTTGACAACCTTAAAAAATCTGTTTGCTACATATTAATTTCTAATGTGCCTGAAATAGCTCCAGTGTTCATGTTTATCCTGTTTTCCATCCCTTTACCGTTGGGTAAGATTTACGCACTTCACGTACTGACTTCAACATTTTGTTCAGCTTCCTATTATATTTATTGTTCAAATTAGTGAAATGGAACATTAGAAATGATTGTGTTGTTGAAGGGGTGATGACAATATTGTGCGTAGACTTGGGCACAGACATGTGGCCGGCTGTGGCACTGTCATATGAACGCGCTGAATCTGACGTCATGACGCGACCTGCTCACGTCCGTGACCCTCTCGTCACGACGCAAATGTTAAGATTAGTGTACTTGCACTTGGGCCTCATAGAGTTTGCAGCCGGCATGTATGCTTATTTCATTGTAATGGCAGAATTTGGATTCTACCCTAATCATCTCTTCGGTGAGTACCTAGATGCCTATTGATGGAAACGTTCCGATGACACCTGTTTAAATTAATGAAAAGTAATACATATTTAAGGGATAAGGCAAAAGTGGGATAATGAGGCGATCAGCGATGTAACAGATTCCTTGGGCCAAGAGTGGACGTACCTAGAACGCAAGGAGGTGGAGCAAGCAGCGCAGGCGGCTTATTTCGTAGCCGTGGTACTCATGCAGATGATCAATGGCGTCATTTGCAAGACTAGATATAACTCTTTGTTTCATGTCGGTAAGACTAATGGAACTTCTATAATTAAATGTTGGGCCCCTGCCAATGTTGAGATCCATTAATTTTTAGATAACGCAATCAAAATGATTTCTGTCGGCAATTTCCAGGAATGAAGAACAAAATTTTAAATATTGGAATTGTGTTTGAGCTATTATTGTCATGTGTTATCTGCTACACTCCGGGATTGAATACTTTCTTCCGAACATATCCTCTTAAATTAAGATGGTAAGCACTAACTGGTTATAACAACTTATTCCTAGTAGGTTCCAACTTATAATTCGTAGGCAATATTCATAAGGAAAACGTCCACAGGTGGTTCCTTGCATTGCCATTTTGTGCCCTTATGTTTGGTTTCGACGAATTTAGAAAATATTGCATTAGACGAGGATTATTTGGAGGATGGTACAACACTTTAACGTTTTACTAAGAAGACAATTACTTATTTATAAATAGATACCTTCGTACGTACCTACCTATATTTATAGCTTATGTATGTCATATTAAATAAACACGTAATGATAAAGTATCCTGTTCTAATTTAAGGACGAACAATATAATATGACTACACCGCATCCGCTGATAAGTATTATATTTAGCCGAAGCGTAAATTCAAAGTTATTTTTAACAGACTTCATTACCTAAAGGTACGTACCGTACAATACAGGCATCTGGTTTTTCTGTTAGGAGATACCTAGTAGATAAAATTATTTAAACTAAATAGTAACAATCAGTTGGGCGATCGAAAGCCAGCTAGATTTTTAGGGACTAATAAATAAACAAATAAATAAAACAAAACGTTCCAGAAAATAGTAGTTTACTGGGTTTCACTTTACAATTGATCCCACACACTCACATACATATTCAGATCTTCAAATAATACAAGTCAAACAGTTAAGTACCTAATTTAATGAGCAAAAATAATATGACATATTAAGGATCAGGTCACATTAACCACATCACAATAATTTAAGGCCAGTGTATCTGCAGACCTTGGCTTCAGGAAGTGAGCGGAACTCTTCACTTACACAAAATTTAATAAATTGTTCTAACATTAATAAATTATACATTTAGATTTCATTACCTAAACGCTTCTATCAACACCGCATTTAACTTCCTGAACATTTTATTCTTAGGAATGTTGTTTTAAATTCCTTCAAAGTGATTAATTGGTCAATTTAGAATACCGTTTAATCCCTTTAAATGACTTTAAAAGCTTTGGCTTAGTACAATAACACAACAATGGTAATTATCATAGGTTTAACATTGATATTTACCGTCGAATCGCAATGTACATTTAAATAGGAATGATTTGAATTACCCTAAATTATACAAACAGTACCGATTTTTATATAAGGCACAAGTAAATAAAATCTTTTTTCATATTAAGTCATTAACATAATCGAATAAGGAAATAATACGAACTAAAGTAACAGATTATTAATAATATTTTGTTCACTATAAGTCATAACTAGTAAGTATTTTGGTATGAAGGGCAAACCGCAATTAGAGGGGAGGCCATATTTTACCACACCTCTATGATACTAGCTTCAAACAGCGTAATATTATTATAGGCATTAAAAGGTCTTCACATTCTTCGCACTGCTCAAACTACCTTAGTTGAACATTTCAAGTAACTACACATACGTAATTTATTTACTTGAACCGGGCCAGCAATATTTAAATTCTTTGCAAGATTTAAATCCTTGTTTGTGTTTGAAGTAAGCTCTCATCTGTTAGTATGAATAAAGACTAACTACTCTAAATTAATTCACGAAATAATTGCCAATTGACATAAACAATAAAATATATAAAACCATTCGAGTCACAATTGCATCACGAAATTCAGAGATTATATCTCACCGCAGCGCCGATAAAAGCTTTTTTTTTACTAATATCTACAGAAGATAAAATGCATTATTATTAAATTAACATTTGAATACATTTGTCATAATAGTAACTCATTGAAATATAATTATAGAAATAGCAATAGATTTTCAGAAATAAATACCAATAATTACAATAAGAGGACATAACATTATGTATTTACATCACTATCACATAACACTTAGGTAGATTGGATTTTATATTTTAAGTCAGGCAAGTTTGATATGATCCATAAGTATCTAGGATATAAACAAGCAATAGTCATAGTAGTCTTTGCACTATACCTACGTCATGAATATGAAGCGATAAGTACAATCAATAATAACATTTGGCTTAACATTACGTAAGTTCTTTTATTAAATACGTAGAATTTAAAGTTATGTACAATAAGCTCAGAAATAGTCATAGGAAATGATAAATTTATTTCTATTAAGTTTTTATTGACTTCTAATAATTCTAATAAATATCTATATTTTAGAATATTATAAGGAGGTGATATTACATTACATCCGACTACTTTTACTATTTTAAAACTTGTCAAAAATTTATGATCTCTAATTCTATGTAGTACAAGGAATATAAGATCTAATTCTAGATTCTCTTTAAAATATCGGATCTTTAACGTTAATAAAATTCTTAAAACCTTAGGTTTATTACAGACTGTGATTTGGTTTTGTAATTAACAGTCAGGATTATTTTAGAAATGTTCCATTCAATGGTATAGGTAAGTCTTTTCTTAGGTTTTTACACGTAAATATAATTAAATTAGTTATCCCTTCACCAATAACAACATGTTGAGCGAATAATTTTGAGCTTATACTGGGAATTACATTGGTGATTGCATTGCTTATTTAACAACCGATATTTTTACACCACGAATTAAATAATGTGCTTATAATTCTGGTTGAGGTGTTGTTTACAAGTAGGTGAGGTCACGTTCTTGTTTGTTTACCTAGTTAGTTGTGGCGCATACGCGCGGCGAGGATTGCACTGAGGTTAGGTTGAGTTCGCATGTCCGCTATAGAGTGTCTGGATTTTATTAACGCCTCCTCACGACATTCCTCGTCTTGTAGAATGCATCCAATTATTTTAGCTACAATTGTCGACGGTGGAACATGAGGATTCCCTGAAACCGGATAAGACGACTAGATATTTAAATTATGGTGAAAGAAGTTAGAAAATATAACATTACACCTTTTATTGCTCGAAGAGGTAAACAAGTATAATACTTTAGTTACGATTATTTACTTAATATAAGTGAGAACTTAATAATTATTTTATTTTTAATACTTATTTTTGCTAAAAACATTAATATTCAATCAACAGCCACTGGTTTTAACACCCCATAACTTTGGAGTTCTACTAATCTTTCTTTTTCAATTATTTCATTAGTAATATGTAGTACATACATTGTATATCAGTTAGTTGTGTACGATTTTTTAACGGATGAGATAAATATGATTAGTGTTGGATTCAGAAAATTTAAATATTGTGAAAAATTCTCGTAATTAAATACACAGACACCACACATAATGCTAGGTACTTACTGCACTGCAATCTCGGGAACTTGATATGATCTATGACAACTCGGAGAAACGGGTTTCATAAAGCGGCATACAGGCGTGCAGTGTTCTGTTAGTCATTTGATGAGATTGTTATTATTGTTAGTAGTAATTCCAGCACCAAAAATGACAGGAAACTTAACATTAATAATATAAAGTTATTTATACACCAGCATTAGATTAGGTGAGCCATCGTGGACGCTACTGTGTATTGTACGTACAGCGTCGTACAACAACCAATATTACCTATAAAGATAAGGAAGGACCTATTAGTTTACCTAAATGTCTTAAAATGTTTGTCTTGAAAACCAGTATTTTCTTAATTTTAGAATTCTTAAAAATATAGTCGCTAAGGAATGACCTAACTTCATCGAGTAGGTATTTATTTAATTTAATGCATAAACCATATTATTAATATCGTACAGGTAACCAGACAAGTTGAATGGCTCACATAATCCGGATTGTTGTTAATACTATGATAATATTACAAGATTAAGTAATTTACATAATTATTATATGTATTATATTCACTACTATTCTGTGACAATGTTAGCAAGGCAATGCCCTGTGTTTCAAGTCCGCAATGTTAATGGAAAATGTTTATCCCCCGAGAGTAAATCTATAAATAATTTGACAAAGCTGATTGTAATATTAAAACATGTTAGTGAGTCATTCAATTAAGTTTTTTATTGCCAAATTACGTAAAAACCAACTGTTAGACGGAACTAAGATACTTAGTAATTAGGTCCATATGGTTGTTTTCACAAATACGACAATTTATGACGTCACTGACGCTTGATTTATGAGAAGTCGTGTTTGATGACGCAAATATAATAAAATAATGTTATACGTTTTTGCAGTACTACTTAATACTTTTAAATTTGGCTTATAAAATCCTCAAATAATGACTATTATCATGTCCATAAAGGTACCCCCATCATAAAATGGTAATGACTGTAACTTACCGGTAAGACCTCTATATCCAAATATCCCACAATCGTGCATACGCATTGAATGCTGCTCTTTTTTGATAAAATCTTCTGTGCTAATACCTTTAAGCTGTAAAAATATTAATGTATGTAATACAAATAGCTAATATTTTTTTACAAAAGAATGTACCCAATGTCTTATATCTAGGTATGACTAAATAAATTGTAACACATCCGAAACTGAAATGCTACTCAATTTAAGCGATGGCACAATATTTAATCGCTTGAATGCACCAATATGAGACACAATAGAACATACATTGTGTCTCGCGTGGATCCACGTTTAGACTCAAGACTGTTTAAGTACAACCGAAAATTGAGTAGCCTTTCAGTATTCGGGCGAAAGAGACTCATTAATGAAGTTCTAATGTGACATAATATTTTTTTTAAGTTTTCATGCTTTTAATATTTCAGGAAAGTAATAAATAGCAATAAATAAATGTAATTACTCACTTTAGAAGGTGCTAAAAATCTGTCAGGTATTCTTTGCAATTTTTGCTGCTTTTCACTTGGCCCAAAGCCTAGAGCAAGCAGTACTGACTCAGCATCTACTTTTCGTGCTCCTAGCACATTTAAAACTGAACTTCCACTTGAGCCACTGTTATCAGACTGTTAAAACAAACAAATTTCATCAGTCTTACAATACATACATCTTTCATGGCAAATTATGGACTATGGACTATAAAATAAAATTGAAACTTACTTGCAAAGAATGGTCTCTAAATAATGGATTCTTAAACTTGGGGGAGTATCCCTCTGATTGTATTGAATGGTCCCGTTGTAGTCTTTTAACATTAGTTCGCTGAGGTGTGCTAGTTAGTAACCCACTATCAAGTGACTTCCTTTTCCAGGCTTCTTTTAAAGGAACTTCTAGGTTCTGATCATCTTGGAGCTCTTCTTTGTTAGGCTCTATTACTGTGTTCTCAGTTACTGTTTCATCTGCTTTGCTATCATTGTCATCAGACTTGGGCTCTGAGATCTTTACTTCTTCACTAGTGTCCTCGGGTGCGACTGTTTCGTCAGCTGGCAGGGAATCCAGCCACTGTTGCACTGGACTACTTCGCCGCATGTCGTCAATCACTCCACTTAACCAACCTCTTACTTTTCTTTCTATTATTGTCGACACAGATTCATTAAATGTATCTAAAAAATATTAAGTACCATTAATAAACAGATTATTTATCAACAGAAAATTGACATTCACACTAGATAGAGTGCACCTACATTTTGCATTGTTCATAAAACATAGATCTACAAATTAAAAACTATACCAACAAGAAATTGTATGATTCATTGTTGGCTGTCTGTAATAAAAAATTAATCATTGTAATGATTAATTTTTTATTATTTTAAACCAAAAAAAAACAAAACTTATCAAAATATTAATGAAATAAGCTTTGCTTTCAAAAATGTATGAATCTATAGAAATACATATCATAAAAAAATTCTTTATCATTTGGTACTTAATTTGTATGACCTTAGATATATTTTTACAAAAATAGAATGCTAACCTACTTAGGTTATTCTAAGTATTGTTGGAAGAGAATACATCTGTTTGTAATTAAGTTGTTTGATACCAACCTGTTTAAAATATATTTATTACATACACAAAAGCCACAACCAGAACGTTTTACTAACTTACACACCACAACTTAATGTGCAGGTAAAACACACAAAATGCGATACAAAGTGTTTGCTCGAAATTTTATGAGGAAATGTGTATTGGCGTGTTTGTTTATGATATCTATAACATAACACAAAAACACTATGATAATGTAGCTGCGTAAACCAACCTTGCTTAGGATCCATCTCCAGTCAAGGTAACGCTGCATGCAATACGAGGAAGTTCATGAATTAACGTGCAAGATGCGTTCGATGATCAAAAATACTTGGTTATTACCTACAGTTTTCCAGAAACGATAATTCTACATTAAATTATTCTCAACTTACCTTCAATCAGGCAAATATAAACTTGAATCTTTCAACTTCAACTTGACACTATAGTCAGAATTTTAATTAGATTCCAGATTTGACAATAGCTACTGTCATTTTGTGAAATAATGATACCACATATAATAGTGTAGTGATGAACACAAAAATCGATAAACAATCAGTGTGTGTGTTTTATAATAAATGTTACAGAAAGTGACAGGATAGCGATAGCGATGACGGCGACAATTTATAAAATAACTTATTACCATAATACATCTATCTGTTTTATTTGTCATGTTCCTTCATGATTACATTTTTTTATTTATTTCACACACAATTATAAAAGAAAAGTCTCAGATCGTTAATTAATCGTCAAAACTAAGTTATCGGTTCAGAAATATTTAATTTCCTGATATACTTAGTTTACGAGAGTAAAATTATAAACGAGAAGAATCGATCCAGAAATATTGCATTTCCATATCGAATAATTTCGCAACGTCACTATTTAGGACTTGTCATAACGTTGCAACATTGAAATTGTCAAATCTGGAATCGAATTAAAATTCCGAGTATAGTTACTTAATTGTAATTTCCAACAAATCTAAATTCACTGTTTTTCTTTTGTTACACGTCTGTTTTAATAACCATTTACACCATTTATTAAAAAAATACGTATTTACAGTACACTGATAGCTGCAGTGACATTAAACTGACTGGCGTTTACGTTTAGTTGACTTAAGTCATTTGACCATTTAAAACGTTTAGATGTATCTAGTTTTGACACTCACACTTGACAGTGACATAATAATGATATATCAAGAAATACCAGGAGGGATACCAGAATAAACGATAATTTAATAGAACTTTGGTAGAATCGCACTTTTTTTGGAATTTAATTCCTACTGTTTAATAAAGCTTTTTTTTTAAATTAGCGTACCGTTATACATATCTCACAATCCAAATAAACATTAAATTCATAGAAATACTGAACACCATGATTGCGAAACGCAGTGGTTGCAATAAGCCGGTCTCTCGTAGGTACTGTAGTGGCTCATGGTCTACCTGTTCTTGTCCAGGTCTGTGAATCCTTTTTATTACTGTTAACCGACTTAAATATCCGAGCCTGCGAGTCACCTGACGCTTTCTACGCCCAGCTCCCGGTAATGTTGCAATTTGAGCCCTCTCTTCAAAAGTGGAATCTTATTACAATTAATGGTTGCCGAAACACTGATGCAGACCACAACCAGCCAGCCGCCACAATGCAAGGAGGATAAAAATGTATTCAGAGTTTTTAAACGGAGCGCAACAAACTAAAATTTTTAAAGAACCCTCTAAAACTTTGTGAAAATGTTTTTTTTTTTTACAAAAAGAACAAATAAGGAATAGCTACTCTTATTTTTAATTTAAATTCCTTGCATACGATGTACGTTACCTACCTACTAATTAATAAAATTCTTGAAATAGAAAATGTTCATCAAGCCATGAAAAAACTTAAGTGGCTCTTTTTCACTCTGTATTTGGGATATTGGGATACAAAATCCCAACGCAAATACAGAGTGACTTGTAACTCGACGTATTCCTCTCGGGAGGTAATAATACAACTAATTTCCTACAAAATTTGCCCTGAGGTCTCTGGTACACAATGTTTTAAGCTAAATGCAGTTTTCCATTGACCAAATTAATGACTCAAAACAAAATTTGATACTAATTTACTTGCTTATTTAAAATTAATGATATTTCTGTCAGTATACACATCAATAAATATTTATTGGTGTAATGACAACAGATTAAAAATAAAATCACTTAATTCAAACAAGTAGTTTTTTATTTATAGATTTTTTTTGTAGTTCGATCGGAATTTTTTCACCAAAATCGAAAATGTTGAATATCTCAGTAACGAGCCACTTTCGGACCAGAGACCTCAACGCTAAGTTTGTCGGTAATTAGTTGTATTATCACCTCTCCAGAGGAATACGTCGAGTTACAAGTCACCCTGTATAGATAAAATATTTTTGTCCCTATTTTATCAAAACTAAGGACATCTGTCATTTTCCCAAGTCGGGCCAACGTGGTAATTCATTACAAACGCACACATAAGTAACCTACTGATATTTTGGTGCTTCAATCATTTGTAGGTAAGTGACATAATGTCCGCCTATTTTTCAACGTCCTTGATTAAAAAGAAAACAAAAAAAGAGGCAATGCCTTTCCATATTTAGTTCCGTTTCGGAGTGTGAGAGTATGTTTCACGACGAAGTGTTATGTTCCCATCGTCACGAATGAGTCAGATCTACCGGAGTAATACCCTTCACCGAAAACTGGCCTGAAAAAATGCTTGCGTTGTGTTTTGTCCTGTGTGTAAGATTACCGGAGGCCGTATCTTACACCCTTCACCCTTCCCCCTCCAAAGGCCAGCAACACTCTTGTAATTCCTTTGATGTTACCTGTGTAATCATGGGTGGCGACCACGTGGCGACGATTGCTTAATCTCCTCGTTTGGCTCTCCATTTTTCCATAATTATAAATGTAAGAAAGGGAAATATAAATGATCTAAGTATAATAACAAACACATATATCATAACAAACACTTCTGAGCTAAGTACCCAGGTAGTTTAATTTATTTTCTTAATAAATAAATGTGTTATTAATAAAAATAACTTTTATTATAAATAAAGAATATTTATTTTTCTATAAACACATTATTCTTTTATATCATCAATGTTGACATTTTTTATAAATCGCGGATCGCATTGGGCTTTCGTCAACGAAGTCGAGTGCATGGATGGAGAAGAGTTCAGCGGGCAAACCGCAGCCGACACGCGCGACGCCGAGACGAAGCGCCCAGCGCACGCGGCTCCTTAGCTAAACAATTTGTGCATCGAGGTCAGGTAGAGATTACTTTAATCGCTAAATCACATTTGGACACTAATATACATGTATAACTACGTTCAACAAGTGTCAATATTGAGCAGTACGAGGGGGGCCGCGGGAGCGCGCGGCTCGTAGCCTACGTCACGCCGGCCCGTATACGCAATCGCCGCGACGTGCTCCCGCCGTCTCCTCGCCCGGGAGCACAGCGGCACGTCGCCACTGGTCGCGCACACGCTCCACGTGTTGCAGAACGCGCACTACATTCATGCCGGCCAGCTTGCGCACGTCTTCCTCGCTCCAGTCCGGGTCGCGTAGCAGCTCCGCGAGCAAGTGCGGGTACCTCGACACGTCCTCCAGCCCCTCGGGTGGCGCGTCAATGCCGTCGTACCCAGCACCCAAACCGACGTGCTCCACGCCAGCGACCCTCCGTACATGGTTTATATGTGCCACCACATCTTCTAAGGTGGCACGCTCACCACAAGTTACTAGTTTTGCATAGAAATTTATCATAACGACGCCACCGTTTGCGGCAATCATGCGAAGTAAGTCATCCGGAACGTTTCTACTGGAGTTGCACAGAGCTGCTGCTCCTGAATGCGAAAATACTACAGGCGCCTGTGACATTTCTAAAGCATCGCGTGCTGTTTCTTCCCCCGCATGCGATAAGTCTACTATCATACCAAGTCGATTCATTTCCCTGACGACAGCCCTTCCGAATTCGCTGAGTCCTCCTGCCGTACCTGCAGCTCGTGCCCATCTTGTATCACAAGTGTGTGTCACTGTAAGATAACGAGCACCGAGTTGATAGAAGGCTCGCAGAACTGCTAGCGAATCGCCAAGAGCGTGTCCACCTTCTACTCCTATGAGGGAGGCGATGCGACCGTCACGGTGAGCGTCCAAAAGTTCCCCGGCATCGGTAACAAGCGCCAAATGCGCCGCATTCAATTCTACAATACGCTTGATAACGTCCATTTGTTCGAGCGCTAGTTGAACTGCGTCACGATCTCTAGCTCCACATGGCACATATGCTGACCAAAACTGGGCACCGACTTGGCCGAGCCTCAAGCGCGGGATATCAGTGTGCGACCAGCGCGACCGCGCCCAAGGTTCGATTCCATCTAGACCGGCACTCAAATTAAAGTCACCAATTTTATTATGTAAAAACTTTCGAACATTCCATGCTAAGTCATTATGTCCGTCAACTAGTGGCGAGTCTCGTAGCATGCGACGTATAGTGGTTAGTCGTTGTTCTGGAGTAGCACGGCCACCACCACCGAGTGCCAGCGGTAACGCTAGTGCGGCACCGAGCGCGGCCAGCACGACCAGTGCCGCTAAAGCGATACGCCAGCGCGGCCGTCGCGGGACAGTCTTCTCGTCTGAGCTGCCTGATGCCGAGGCCGATAGCGAGTCAGGCGCCCAGCGCCCGCACCGCTCGGCTACATCCGGCAGCGGACCCGGAAATGTCATACCTTCTGGCACCGCGGCCTGCAAACACACCAAAATCTTCATGTTAGAATTTTTAGAGCGAACTTAACGGAATATAAGATTTAAGTAGTGTGAGGTCAGCGATCCAAAAATAATTCTATTTTCGAATTTAACTGTTTCTTTACGCAATGTATCCGGTATTATTTTATTGCTGAGTTACTGAGTTGAGAGACAAATGTCCTGATAAATATTTTATTACAGTAGCATATTTAGATTTTCTTTCTCTTTTGTGGACTACGAACGTACATATGTACCGAATTAATTATTTAATTTTGGCAATATAGAACATTTATGGTTAGTATTTACATGGCTATGTCGAAACTGCGCCAAAATTGGCGGTCACTTATATACCTACCTATTATGCACATAAGCATCTCATTGCACTTTGACCCACTTAAATCTAATTGTTGAACTATGTCACTACGAATTAAATGAGTGCATGTTAATAAACTCCATATTAAGGACTGGTCTAGTACTCTACTTACCAAGTTATCAAATAGATTACATAGCCTAAAATTAAATACTGGTGTTTTATACTATCAATACATAGTATAAAACAAAGTCGCTTTCGCTGTATGTCCGTATGTATGCTTAGATCTTTAAAACTACGCAACGGATTTTGATGCGGTTTTTTTTAATAGAT